TATATATATATATATATATATATATATATATATATATATATATATTATATATATGTTATATATATATATATAGGTGATTCAGAGATACGTTTGCTAGAAAAAAGAGTGCAGCAGCTGGTGCGTGTTGTTTACACATTTCATTTACTTCGTGCAGCTTCTGATCCTCTTCATAGATACAGCACAAAAGCCCCAATGGGTGGAGGTTATAACTAAAATAAATAAAGCAACTGTGTACATGCATGCATGCATGCATGCAAATATATAAGAGTGTTGAGTACTGGGGTTTCAGTTAGCCTCTGGTTACTATGATAGTATTGATGGTGTAGAGTGGTGCTTTGTATGAGGGAGGAACTGCATCCGTCCGCCAGAACAGACTCAATGAAACAATAAAAAAAAATAAAAAACAAAATTATTTTACATAAAATAACATTTATACTGATGAAAAATATACGAAGAAGGAGCCACACAGACGAGGCGGTTGAGGCCCCACATGGGGGGCCCCGCAGGCGGCCAGCGTATGCGCCGCCCGTGTATTTCACAATTAAAACTAAAATTTTGCGTTTTCTTTATTATAAAATAAATAATTACACAATTATAAACCTAGAAGGCAACAAAAATAAGCCAATTGATGCGGCTTTCCCTCATTTGTATGGCCATTCATGTTTTGCTCTCTCGGGCGCTGCAGCCCCAGACTCGATGCTGATTTCAGTATCGTACTTCTAGGTTTTTTGGTTCTTTAACTGAATAAAATTAATATTTTATGTTTGTTTTTCCTTTTTATATTCATAAAGTAAACGACAGGCGGTAAGCGGCTGCCGCCGCCTGGCAGCATTTCATGTTTTTTTTTTTTTTCACTAGCTGTAATGGTCTGAGTTTCTGAACATATACGTACACGATCTTCATTTTCTTTCTATTTTATCTTTTGTATAATTGATGTTTCTTTAATATTTCTCTTTTTTTATATTCTCTCATGTTATCCTAAAAGTTCAGCTTTCCATCAAAATTCCGAAATTCATGAAAAATACAGAAAATGGCGGATCCGAATCTGGTGGTTTCCACCAACGTCAGATCAGCGCGTTTAGAGTTTCTCGGCGATGAAGAAATACGTAAACTTTCATGTTGCCGTGTGATCACTCCTGCAGCATTTGCAGCTCCTGAGGGCTCTGGTATTGGCTCAGCAGCTGGAGGAGCAGCAGCAGCAGCAGCAGCAGCAGCAGCAGGACTTGCTGCTGCTGTTCCAGGGGGTCTTCATGATAGTCGTATGGGGGTTTTCGATGGAAGGGAAACATGCGGCACCTGCGGGGCCTCAGGCAGCTGCCCCGGCCACATAGGCCACATAGAGCTGGAGCTGCCCGCGCTGCAGCCTATACTGATGCCTTCACTTGTCAAGCTTCTTAAGGGGGTGAGGATTCAGCATCAGCTGCTGCTGCTGCTGCTGCTGGTTTGCTGTTGCTGTTGCTGCTGCTGCTGCTGCTGTGGCCTGCAGTAATTTTCCTTGTTGCTGCAGTTGCTGTTGTTTTTGCTGCTGCTTTCTTTTTTTAGGTTTGTTTAGAGTGCCGCCGCCTGCGGCTCTCACGTCAGCAGAAGGGCCTGGAGGCGAAGAGGTTTCAGCTGCTGCAGCTGCTGCTGCTGCAGGAGCTGCAGCTGATGGATGCTGCTGTGACGCGCAGCAGCAACGCCAACAATGCTGGCGACGCAGAAGCCTTTAAAAAGAGATCAGATATACTGAAAATATTTGCTGCTGTAGATGCTGAGCTCAATGCTCGCATGCAGAAGGAGCAGCAACAGCAGCAGCAGCAGCAGCAGCAGCAGCAGGAGCAGGAGAACCAGGCGGGTTCGATCGATTCAACTGCAGCAGCAGCAGCAGGAGGCGATGGTGATGCAGCAGCAGAACCAGCAGCAGCAGCAGCAGCAGCAGCAGCAGCAGAAGCAAAGAAAACATTCATGCTGCAGCATATAGCCAGGGACCTCAGCAGCAGCAGCATGCAGGTTTCTGCCTGGCGGGCATTCCGCAGCAGAGTGCTGCAGCAGGCAGCAGCAGTCACTCGCTGCAGTCACTGCGGCGTGTAAACCCTAAACCCTAATTCTCCTAAACCCTAAACCCTAAACCCTAAACCCTAGAGGATTTAATAAAACCACCGCGATACACAGTAGTGTTTACTCATATTGAACCTCTAGGGTTTAGGGTTTAGGGTTTATGTGTTTCACTCTGCTGCCTATTATTATCCTCTAATATGTGAACCTATAAAAGCAAAAAATATTTAGAATTCAGGGTTTAGGGTTTAGGGTTTAGGGTTTAGGGTTTAGTGTGGGGTGTATGTGCAGCGCGAGTGCGGTGTCTGTACACCTGGCGCCGAAGGGTTCCGGGGTGGAGCTGCGTTGGCCGTGGCAGTTATCTTTACCTTATACAAGCAGCAGTTTCTTTGGTTCTTTGTTTCATAAAGATGCTGCTGCTGCTGCTGCTGCTGCTGCTGCTGCTGATAGCAGCAGTGATCCAGATGCTGCTGCTGCTGCTGCTGCAGCAGCAGCAGCAGCAGCAAATGCTGCA